AAACCTGCGCCTCGACCATCGACTCAAGGTGGACAAACATGATCTTTTTAACATGAACTTGGAGGAGGCGGCAAGGGCCATAAGAACCAACCCTGGAGGTACCATCTTCGACCGCTTCTTACGGATACTTGCGGGAGCCAAGATAGCCTGGAGGGGGTCACCCAACTTCACGTTACTACGAACCATGGTTTCCATGGTGCAGCGGCAGGCCACCCGTAGCTCCATAGTAGATCCCGTTGGGGCCAATCTGGCAATGTCCTTCCCACCGACTTTCTCGGGTTCAAGGACAGTGATAAATCGGTCTAAATCCATGGATTATGGATGCTCGGAGTCAGCAGGCGTACGAGGATCTATATTTCTTTCCCCGAAACTGACCGTCCATGGACCGAACCTCAGGGTGGCTATTAATATCCTGGTAAACCATATCCCGATTCCCGATTTAAGTACACGGGGTAGGGTCATCAGTCCTACGCCCGGTCGGTGTGAGTGGCCTCCAGTAGCCTGACGGGCCTCACTTACCCGAGGGGGGAGAGACTCGGGCAGCATGGCTTTTCCTGGTGGACGGTCACCCAAATCGGGCGGTCACCCAACCAAGTATTGACCACGCTCGACGTTGCTTAACTTTGATTACCTATTGCAAGCGCCTTAGCCCGTACTGCTACCCCAGCCCCCATATATATATATATATATATATATATATATATATATATATATATATATATATATATTTATTAGGAATATGTATAGATATGTATGTGTATGTATGTATCTATGTATGTGTATGTGTGTATGTGTGTATGTATGTGTATATATATATATATATATTTATTAGGAATATGTATAGATATGTATGTGTATGTATGTATCTATGTATGTGTATGTGTGTATGTGTGTATATATATATATATATATATATATATATATATATATATATATATATATATATATATATAAGTTAAGGTACGGAGCGGGACAGTATTAGCGTTAATACCAAAAGCATTGATGTAGACAATCTCAGAATGTATGTATAGAGGATTATAAGGAACAATAAATCAGTCTTGATTTCGACTTCATGCGTTTTATTCCTTGAACCTTTTACTTTTTTTTAAGTGTTTTAAGTCCGCTACGCTTAACTGGTGCCGAAACCCGGGACGGTGAGAGTGCAGAGGTACGTTTTTTTTTCAATCAGAGGAAAACCGTTACGAGGATGCCTGAGTTTGACTTGAGGCAGCCGGCTCCCATGAACGTGCCAGAGATCCCTCTGTTACCGCAGGGAACCTTAGCCGCGGAGCATGCAAATGCGATAGAATGGATGAAGATCAGGGTAGCCACTTCAAATGACCTGAGGAAGGTTGTATCCGATCTTAAGCGCTTCACTGGAGAAACAGGTGAGCTAAATCACTTTTTAAAAGGAGGAGATCGACTTGTGACAAGAATCAATGCGAAGATCGAAGAGAACCTCGTCAATGCTGGAGATGCGGATGCCCTTATGGCAGCGCTTGTGTGCAGGGTCAAAAGAAGTATCCTGAACCACATTCTGGCGGATGAAGAGAGGCTGTGGGAAACGGTCAAAGAAAGACTAAAGAAAGCATACCGAGGTGGCAGGTGGACGACAGAAGAAGACATCTTCCAGATATTCCGCGAGACGAAGTCTTCACGGCAGTCAAAGGGATAATACGCTGCAACACTCGTAGCTCATCACAACCGTATCACGGAGAAGCTGCGGAAAACAGCAGGCGCTCCAGATGTAGAGGCCAAGATGGCCTTCTTGTCTACGATAGTGAAGGTGCAACTAGCGAAGGAAACCGGGAAGGAGGGCTTAACCCGGGAACGCTCATTTATTGAGTGTGCCCAAGAAATGGTGGACTCCAGCGCCCGAGAGGACGAAGGCCGGCTAGAGGAACCAGGATGGAATCGGATAGTCTATAAGAGGCCTAGGAGTACACCGGCGACCTGGAAAAGGAGAGAGTCCGCATATGGCGGGAGAGAGAAGCACATGGGAGCGGAACGAAGACCAGGGCAAAATAGAGCGAGGGCTAGCCAACGGAAAGAAGATATGAAATGTCACGGCTGTGGGTGGCACTTGGTGGCACAGTGTCCCCGCACGAAATGCTTCGAGTGCGGGACAGGGACACATTGCGAGGCAATGTCCTTATATATATTCAAGAAGAGACTCACAACGAGCAGAGCCGATGGAGGTGAATGCTCAAGGTTTGAGGAGAAGAAAGATGCAGTCCAGGAGAAGTGAGTCATCAACAGAGGCTTCAGAAGAATCAGCAACCACTGAGACCGAGGAAGAACCAGATGACCCAGCAAGCCGGGAAAATGAGAGGAGCAGAGAGGGGCGGAGAGGCAGCGGAAGAAGTGGACGGCGGCCAGCAGTGGAGAGGATCTGAGGAGAGTGTCAGGCGAGAGGTGACCGCACGGTGGTAAATTATAGCATTCGAGGTAAAAGCAGCTGGTTACCTATAATAGAGGCGAGAGGAGTGCGGTGCCTGATAGACACCGGGAGTTCCAATACCATTATGACGCGCGGAGTTTTGGAAAACCTGTATGGTGGAGAGAGGACACTCCAAATCAAGGTATGTAATTGTATGCTAATCACCCTGAGTGGCCCGTGTGGAGTAGAAGAGGAAGTGGAGATAGGATTGAGGGGGTGGGCAGCCAAGGGAGGTAAACTTACGGTGCATGTGGTGGGAGAAATGCCCAGGGAATATCAGGTAATTATAGGGTGCTACATGTTGGGGAAGGTGGGCGTGCGAATCGCGAATAGGAGAAAGCAGTGGAGAATACGAATAGGGAATGTCAACTATACGAGCAGGGTAGCAATAAAGAATGACGATAGGGCGCGTATAGGAGCTATAAGTCGAGCCGAGGATTGGAGAGTGACAGTGAGAAGGGAGTTCGATGACATTTTTTTAAAGGAGGGGGATACATGGGGGGTGACGGGTAAAACGGTGCACGAGATCCCAGATGCAAAGCTTAAAGAAACAAGGTATAATTTCGGTATAGCACGTCGCCATACAACAGTCCGCTATGGGCAGTAAAGAAGAAAAGCGCGCCCGGAGAGGATAAGGAGAAATACCGCGTAGTAATTGATTACCGCAAACTTAATGAGAATACCGTGGATGAAAAATATCCAATCCCGAAGTTTGAGGACATTTTAGATAGGCTGAGCGGGGCAACGGTATTTAGTACCCTCGACTTAAAAGCGGGATACCACCAAATTAGAATGCTCCCGAGAGACCAGTCGAAGACAGCGTTCACGTTCGAAAGGGGGCACTATGAATTTACGAGAATGCCGTTTGGTCTCAAGAACGCCCCTATAACGTTCCAGCGGCTGATGGACGAATTTCTAAGGAGAATTGACGAAGGGATGTGCCAGGTGTACATGGACGACCTGTTGGTATTTAGTAAAACCGAGGCGGAGCACGTGGAGCATCTGCGGAGGGTATTGGAGAGAGTGAGACAATTTGGATTGAAATTGTCTAACGAGAAGTGTTTGTTAGGGCAAGACCACATACATTTTTTAGGGCACACGATCTCGAGTGAGGGGGTCAAACCGGACGCGCGAAAAGTGGAGGCGATAAGGAAAATGACAATACTTCGAGATGTGAAAGGGATCCGCAGATTGTTGGGGACGCTTAATTATTATCGAAGGTTTGTGCCCGAAATGGCGGAATACCTCGTGCCCCTGAACAATTTATTGAAGAAAGGCAGAAAGGTAGTAGTAACCCCCATAATGGAAGACAACATTCGGAAATTCATGGCGCGGCTGCAATAGGAACCGGTATTGGCGTTTCCTGATTTTTCAAAAACATTCACCATCACAACGGATGCTAGCGAGTACGCGTTGGGGGCCGTGCTGTATCAGGAAGGAAATGGGGGCGATCGCCTCATAGCGTACGCCAGCAGGACGCTTACGGACGCTGAAACCAGGTATAGCGCGCTAGAAAGAGAACTATTGGGAATAGTGTGGGCTATAGATCATTTCAGACCCTATGTGTTTGGAAGGAGATTCCGCGTGCACACCGACCATAGACCCTTACAAAGGGCAGGCAAATTGAAAGAGTCTTAGGCTAGAGTCACACGCTGGAAAGAGTTTTTGAACCAATAAAATATGGATATTGTATACAAGCCAGGAAGAGAGAACGTGATGGCGGACTGGCTATCAAGGGCGATTAAGAGCGATCAAGGGCGATGGCGAAATAAATGCCATAGAGGAAGACACAGGAGGGCCATCGACAGACGTGCGACAGTTCTTGAGGGAATGGACGCCGGAAGGGGAAGGAGGACAGACTGTAGAGGAAGATGAGGATGGAGATGAGTCCCAAAAAGAAGGGAGCCCAGTGGAAGAAAGGTCGGCCGGCATGGAGGAGTTAGAGGAGATTATAAATGACCAAAACCGTCAGATAATTTGGAAGACCAGCACTTCGGGTCTAATGAGAGTGCAGTACGGCAAATACGGGAACAGCAGAATTACAACCATTTGGTCACAGCCTGGAGCGAGGGAAGACCAGATCTGTAGAGCTCTGAAGGACGCCTCCAAACCTAGGAAAACTCACCACTTTACGTGGGGAACGGGACTATCTGGGAGAAAATCAAAAGGATATGGCGGTCTGAAAGAATCAACAAGAACGTTCGTTCGTTGCAAGTTGATGGTGGACACAGTGCGGTATGAAGAACAACAGAAGGAGATAACACTCGCTTACCACCAGGGTAAGACCAACCACCGCGGGGCACAGGAGACTTTTCAAGCGTTACGTCGGAAATATTTTTGGTGGGGGATGAAGAAAATGATAGCAGAACTCATAGGGACCTGTGAGGTGTGCTTGAGCACGAAGTACGATAGGCACCCCCCAAGAGCGATGCAAGAGGAGACACCCACAGTCGATGCACCACTAAGCGACTTGCAAGTGGATACGTTCACGTGGAGAGGGTATAAGTGGGTCACGCTCATAGACCTCTTTAGCAAAGCAGCAATGGCATACCTGGTGCAGGAGCGATTAGCAGAGGCAGTCTTAGGAGCCCTCCAGACGTGGTTCCAGTTTTACGGAGTACCCGACCGCATAACATCCGACGGGGGCAGAGAGTTCGACAATGCCAAGATCAGAGCTGAAATGAAGAACGTTGGTATCAAGTGGCATCTTAATACTCCAGGGCACCCCAAGAGCAGGGGGAGTATAGAGAGACTGCACAGTACTCTCAGTGACCATCTAAGGGTATATCAGGTGGAGAAAGGGTTGGAACCGGATATGGCAATGCGGAAGGCGGTGGCAGCGTACAACCATTCCATACATACGGCAACAGGGTTCTCTCCATTCCAAATTCTCTTCGGATTACGCGGGCGGCAACGGGACTGTAGAGGCACAGCTGCAGATGAGGAAATGACGGGAATATTGATTAATAATAAAATGGAATTGGGCAATCTCTGGGGGAAGGTTAAGGAAAAAATAGAGGGAGAAAAGCGCAAAAGAGTGGCGCGGGAAAATCTCAAAGTAAAGGAGGTAACAGGGGGGTTGAAAATCAGGTCATTGTGTATCGCAGATTAGGCTCGAATAGGGGAAAGGAAGTGCGGAGATATGAGGGTCCATTCAGGGTGATAATCATTAGGGAGCATAATGTGGTGACGATTGAGAGTGTCAAAGAACTAAAAAAAAAGGACGGTTCACACAGAACAGTTAAAATTCCCAATTTCAGAGCCAGAGCAACCTTAGAACTGGAGTGCCCTCGTCTCCGGAAAGAAGATTTTTGTTGTTTTTGTATGTTATGTATGGAGGTTATCTTTTATTTTATTTTTGGTTGTTTTTGTATATAGTGTTCATACATAATTTTGTGTAAGTATCGAAAGGAAAGTGCAAGTGAAGTGCAATACGTCTTTCATTTGGAGATTTCATTTGTGAGAAAAATGTAAAGAGGAAAGTGTGTTTTATTTTTTTTTTATTTATATTATATAAAGAATATTTTTGTTTGTGTTTCATTGGATTAGGTTGCAAGTACTGAACACTCCGTACCTTTGTCACAGTGTGGGCAAGAAGACCTTGTCGTTTTTTACATATATGTGTTTTAATTTTTATTTTATGTCTTTTTATTTTTTTACTAAGTTTACGAAGAGTATCCGTAAACTGGTGGGGGGAGTTAAGGTACGGAGCGGGATAGTATTAGCGTTAATACTGCTATGTTCCTGGCCTCGCGTTTCTACGGCGAGTAAGGGGTTCCAGGAATCGCATTTATTTGTATTAAAATGTATTTAATACTTATATTTGTATTGAAATGTTAGATACCACAGACCCCCTACTGTAGTATCCTAGATTGAATCATACAATTTTTATTGGATTTCCTTTCTAAAGGTATCATGTTTTTAAATTTACTATTTGTTCTTTATCTAATTGGTGGCATACAAGGTAGAATGTAAAATCATCAAGATGGTTTACTAACTATTATATTTACAAATTTAAATAACCAAACCACATATACAAATAATGAACAAACCTATATACATAATTATAGTTGAGAATCATACTAGAGGAGAAAGCTTGATGTATTGATTTTATTAATTAATGATGTATGGTTGCCAACACAAATTTACATTAGTATAACTAAATGCTTGTTACCACTTAGCTGGTCCTTCATAGTGTTTCTAGGTGTTTCTAGCCGTCATATCTGGATTTCCTGTCTCTGTTCTCCTTCAGCGTCTAGTCCGTCCATCTGCTCTCTCCGGCTGTCTTCGTCTTCCTCCCTCGACTTCCCCGCTTGAAGTCTCCTTAGCTGAGTCCCAAAGAGAAGTGTCTTAGTCCTAGTCCTGTATTTCCCACCTTTCTTCATCCCCCTCTCTTTTGGTAGTCTTCTCTGATTGGCTGAATATTCCTAGCCTAAGGGATGACCAAGCCCTCTCCCCCAGGCCAAGGTAAAGCAGCAGGTACAGATTTACGTATTTCTGGTGGAAGGTGTGAAAAGGTCTTTCGGGATCCTGTTTAAATACTCAGTTGTCGGTCTTGGTCGCTGGTTCTTAAGAGTTTTTATTACCACTTACAAAAGGTTGCCCTCGTAGGTCGTTACCCTCCCTCAGGTACCCAACCGCCAGATGTGAGCACTTATGATGTTTATTTATTTATACCTTTAAAATAATTATTCCACCAGCGGTCTTTACAATACATAGCAATACCAAAAGCATGATTTATACATCAAATACCGTACGTTACAATTATGTTATCACAATTTTAGTAAAAATGACAACAGTACTTATACTAAACAAATTATTCTTTTACAATTCTGATCTTTCATGATCGAAAGGGATTCGAAGGTAACGTATGTGAATATTGCGAACTCTCTGAGCACCTGTTAACTCCTGAATAGAAACTACATTATGTTCACGCAGTGCTGTCATTCCGAAAGGCCCTTCATATCTCTGATCTCCCCTTTTCCGACCCGATGGAGGTTTGCAGTATACCGTCATTCCCAGCGAAATTTTATGCGACAGATGTATTAAAGAAAAAATCTGGTGCGCGCAACACACAATTTTCACTTTGTTCAACTTTGAATAGAAATTGTTTTCTGGCCATGTTGGGCTATTATAAAATGTTATTAATTGCATTTTTTACTGAGCTAAAGCTAAAAGATTGCAGCTAACAAATCATAAAACTATTAAAATAAAAAAAATTCCTATTTATTATATCACCGGTTGATTATGGATTGTACGATTCGTTGATTATGGATTGTTCGATCCGTTGATTATGGATTGTACGACTATTAGTTATTAAACTGTAATTTTCCATTGCAAACTTTATTAAACGGAATTAAGAGATTTGCATAGTCTGTCAAAGACAGGTTGTCAGTTGTCACACTAATTGTAAGTGGATTCTGTTAGAATACCGCAAAGAGAAAATTTATCAAATTATTCACTAATTTAATTTTCTAAAAGGTAACATGATGATAGGCCAACACGAGTTCCTGCAGTATGCAGAGAGTTCAAGTAGCTGGGATCCCTTATGACGGCAGACAATGATGAGGGAGCTGAGATAGGAGCCAGGATTGCAATGGGAAGCCGATGTTTTTATGCCATACAGTGACTACTTAGGTTTCGAAGGCTATCAAGGAATGCCAGATTGACAATTTATAAAACAATGATTCGTCCGGTAGTCACATACGCAAAAGAGACATGGGTTATCTCAGCAAAACATGAGAGGGCTCTTGGAGGGTGTGAGCGTAAGATTCTTAGGAGGATTTACGGGCCTTTATGCGAAGAAGGCGTTTGGAGATCCAGATACAATCGGGAGTTGTGACAACTTTACAGGAAAGCAGATCTCGTTAGTGTCATTAAGACAGGGCGAATAACATGGTTAGGACATGTGGAAAGGATGGTAGCGAACCGAGTACCAAGAAAAATATAAGGGCCACCTGGAGGAGCAAGAAGGAGAGGAAGGGCACCACTCCGTTGGCTGAAGGATGCTGAGGCGGATTTGAGACAGCTTAGTGTCAGGCGGTGGAGGGTTGCCCCATTGGACCGAGACGAGTGGCGATGTATTGTTGAGAAGGCCAAGGTCCCTAGCGGACTAAAGCGCCAGGGAGTAAGTAACAAAATAAATAAAATTTGCAACTGGAAAAAATTAGATTTTTCAAACTAGATGAAAAGGTAAATAATAATGGAGAGAAAACAAGACTGTGTGTAAAAATATGTACAGAGGTAAGTAAGCAAATAATGTAAAGAAACAAAACTCCGAGTATTGAGTTAAAAAAACAGAATAATATTCCTTTTTGGGAAAATTAAATATTGAAGACGAATTAAATACATATGACAGAATAACATGCGTAAATAATAATAAAAGGCTTAGCTAACCTAAGGTTAGATGCCGACACCATCAATCGCTGTCTAGACACCTCCTTCCACCGGTCACCATCCAAACCCAACCCCACCAGATCACATCACAATGTAATTACCTCAATTATATTAACCTAATACAGTTCACGCAATTCAGCATTGTATAACAGTTTAAATTATCTGATTAACACAACCTTCTTTGGTCCGAATATACTCCGCAATACTTTATTTTCAAAAATCTTAAGAATTTGCTCATCCCTTAATGTAAACTTTCACGTTTCGCATCCATAAAGAACCATAGGTAGATGATCATCAGTCTTGAGTGAACCTATAGTAAAGGAACATCAGACTTAATGTATTCTAAACTAGAAATCACAACAAAATACCTAAAAATAAATGATGAATCACCTGGACGAAATATAGAATTTATTTTTTTTAAAAATATGAAATGGATCAAAAAGAAGAAACGTTGGCAAATAAAGTAATACAGTGAAAACGTATTTTATTGGTGACTTTTGGCCTAAAATCTATTAAATAAAAACATAATAAAATGGTACTAAACATAAAAAATATAAAAAGAAAAGTACATTTCTATATAGCGGACAAAATTTAATTCCATATTTATGTTCACAACTGAGAAGTTTCACTTTATTTAGTTTAAAATATAATTGATTAGCTTTTATAAAGGGATGTTTATAAAGTAAAGCAAAAAAACAATTTGACAGCATCATGTTTGGCAGCCGTATAAGTCACACTAAAATGGATTCTGGCCCAACCCCCGAGACACACTTTTATTTCAAGCTTGTAGCTAAATATAAGCCTTTTTTTAGTATTATGAAAGTGCTAAATCAATTCTATGGATGTTCTTTATCAGTTGAATTCTATTTAGCTCTAATGTATTCAATTTTTTTTTTTTTTTTGCAAGTACCCAATTGGGTAATGTTGTAGTGATAAATTACTTAGTGAAGAATATTTATTAATATTCATCAATGTACAAAATATTATAATAAAAATAATATATTTAAGTTATAAAATAATAATACAGGGATATGATCAACAAATATTTATATTTTTTAAATCTAATCAAAATTATCATACCAATAATAAAAGCCCAACATTAATAAACTAAAAAATAATGAATGTATAACATAAATATAATTTCCTTACAATAATGTTATAATGATGCTTATTAATTGAAAGCGTTTTTCAATTATTAGAACATGATTTAGTTAGCAAAAATGTTGAAACCAACATTATTAGGTAACTAATATTATTCAGAATTTTTTTTTACCAAGAGAACTATTTAACAAACAAAATGTAACAATTAAACTGACAGCTAAATTAACTATTTCTTTCAAAACTCAGAATAAGTAAGATGATATTATTCATTTGATATTAAAACAAGAGAATAAAAGAATATTAACTAAACAATCATTTTCAACTAGGGTTTGAATTTTCAGCCCAAGAACATTCCTTATTAACCTTCCATACACCTGTAGAATCACAATACTCTTCTTTTTTCCATATTGGTACAGATGACTTTAAGGTATCAATAGCATAAGACACAGCTTCAAGGCTTTCTTTACGGTGAGGAGATGAGATAGCAATCAGAACACTTGTTTCTGATATTTTCACTTCACCCATTCTGTAAAATTTGAAAGGTATATAACTCTCATATATACATAGGATATTTAATAATTTATAGAAAGTATACGTGTATATAATATTATGTATTTTTTTAGTTGAAATATTTATATTGAAAAATAATAATGCAGTATGGCACAAACAATGGTAATAAGTAATATTGTATTAAATATGTACATATATATACACACACACACATATATATATATATATATATATATATATATATATATATATATATATATATATAACTTTAGTCTGGAACAAAGTCTCTTAAGGATAACACAATAATACAAAAAAAAAAATACTTCTGGTCAGAACTGTTACATTAAATAATAGAGACATAATAAAACTCAAGTATACCAATAATATATGCAAAATCAAACAATGAAACTATTTAAAAAATACTCAGAACTATGTACAATACTAATAAGAAATGAAACAAAATAATTGCTACTTAGCTTTAAAAAACTAAAAAAAATTAGGAAGGAAAACAATAAATGAAAAATATATTTATTCTTGTGATAGATGAGCATATAACCTTTATCACATCATCCTTTTTACGCCTACAATCTTCTCCAATTCAAGTCCTCAGTCCATTCCCTTTCCACAAGATCTCGACTTTCCGACGTTTACATCCCTTCTCACAGATCTGCCTCATTTCAAAACTTCTTTATAGCTATCGCTGTCAATTTCCGTAATTCTTTACCAATCAAAATTCAGCATTTCCTATCCATATTCACATTCAAAACCCTCCTATTCCAAAGACATTCAGATACTTGCTAAGCTTATGATATTATATATTTATATTATATCATTCATCAAATGATTTTACTATTCCATACTGTAAACTTCACTAGGAATATTACAATATCTTCCAACTCTTAATGCCACTCAATGCATCTATTGTTTGTTTTACTATTATTTTTTTATTCTTATACAACTAAATCTGCATTTATAGTTACAATAAGATAATGATGTGTCTACATATTACTCATTATTTAAATACTCCGACATTTTATATTGTCAGATCCAACTTCCTTTGTTAGCAGTAACACAGAGCTTATTTTAAAGAAGAACTTAATGTATTTTTTTTTTCTTAAAAGTATATAATTATAATTTTCTCTACTGTACATAGTTTTAAGTGTCTTGTCATAGTTTTAAGTGTTTTGTATATAGGTTTTTTTTTGTTTATTTTGTTTTGTTTTTTATATAACTTGTTTAACTAATATTTTCTTTACTTCATACCGTTTTTGTTATTGTTTTATTTAGGCCAGATGTACTCTTTTAATTTTGTACTATTTTGTTATTCTAAAGGGACTTTGTCAAATGATAAAGTTATTTTCTATTTCTATTTCTATATATATGCTATTTTATTTATATATATAAAACAGTTTTATATTTAAGAAAAGTATCAAGTGTCATGGCAGCAACTGAAGTTCAATATTTTTATCGTTCTATCTTTGCTAGTTTGTTATTTGGTTATTATCTCAAATCCTGTTCTCAGACTTTGTAAACAGTGAGTTTATAAACAATTTAACATTTTTACATTACAATAAGTGAGGTGAGTGACTGTTTATTAACAATAAGCAACATTAAATTGGTGCTTGATTGCTAGAGATAGCTTACATGGCAGATAATTCCTATCCGTGGGGTCTTATCTTTCAAGTTCATGGTCACGGCACTTCATATTACGTTCAGAAAATCTTGAGTTCGTACCTAAGACAGTGTATATATTTTTTTTTCTCTGTTTTTATTTCTTAATTCATTATTTTATTTTAATTTTTTTTTTTACTGAGACTCTTTGTTTTATTTATTTACAGAAAATGTTTTTTTTAAATATTTGTATATAGATTTGTAAATAGATTAGTTATTAAGTATTTGTCTTGTAAATTTTCTTATTAGTGATACTTTTTTTTTTCTCTGTTTTTGTATATAAACTCCACCTTTGCGTCCTTCCTGAAAGATCTCCAAGAGACTATCAAGACTCTAATCACCCTCCTCACAAGAATCCTTACCGAAATTCCCTTCAATCTCTCACAATGACCACAAAGCTGTTCTTTTATGGAATGATAACAGACTACACAATCACCAAGACGAACTTGATATTTTTGTTCATGTCTACTTACGTGACTACATCATTTATAAATCAAACCACCCCGACAACACTTCCCATGCGGGTTCTTGCATTCTTATCAATAAATCCTTATCCCATTCTCTCATTCCTTCTACTCCAACTGAGGCTATTCAAGCAACATCAGTAATCATTTCAACTCCTCCTTTCCATTTAACACAGCTGTATACTGTCCTCCTGGTCATACTCTTACCTAAAACTTACTTGAATCCTTATTTCAATCCTTCGGATCGCGCTTTATTGCTGGATGAGACTACAATGCTAAACACCAATGATGGGGTTGTTGAGCATCCAACTCCCATGGTAACATACTATCTTCTGTCTCAACTTCCAATAGTTACTCTGTCCTCTCTCCTATGAATCCTACCTATTGACCAACATCCCTCAAAAAACGCCTTGATATCCTGGACATATTTGTCACCTCCCAGATTTCCTCTTCTCATGTCACAATCAAATCCCTGGATGACCTCTCCTCAGATCATTCTCCAGTTCTACTTTCATTACACACAACCTTCGCTCCTAAGCCCTCGTCCTCTCCTACACTGATTACAGGACAAGTAAACTGGGACAAATTTTGTAAAGACCTGGAAAATAAACTGCACCTAAATATTCCACTTAAGACAAAATATGACATTTACACAGCCATAGAAGTACTTACTACATCTATAAGTGACAAAATAAATGATAATACATCTACCAATAAAATTAACAACTCCCAACAGACAAATTTGCCGCAGCATATTTGTATCATATTAAGGGAAAAACGCAGAGCAAGATCGAAGTGGCACAGGACTAGATACCCATCAGATAAGACATATTACAACAAATTAACTAACCAACTAAAAGCTGAAATTAGAAAATACAAAGTTCAAAATTTACTTAACATGACAGAAAAACTTATTGCTACTGACAAGTCACTATGGTTGACGCCTAAAAAACTCCTTAAATTCAAAGATTTTAACCACCAACTTATTACTAAAACCCAAACCTGGTCCAGATCTGACGAAGAAAAATCTCAAATATTTGCTCAGCACCTCTTCAAAACATTTAATCCACACCCAGATATCCTTAATCCAACCCACCTTGAGATTATTGAAGTAGAATTGGATATCCAATTCCAATTGACTCCTCCACCTAAAGCATTTCATTCTTCAGAAATATCCAATATCACTCATAGATTACCTTCCCGCAAAGTTCCTGGCCATGACCTAATCACATCCCAGATCCTAAAACTGCTTCCTAAAAAAGCCATACTATTCCTCACCTATGTATATAATGCTGTACTCCGAACCACATATATATGTAGGTGTTCTGGCAGCTTTATGGTTTTAGATATCATTTTGACAATGGATAGTTTCCAAGAGTAAGTGATATCTAAAACCATAAAGCCGCCAGAACACCTATCCTCTTACTGTCCTATCTCTCTTTTACCCATTATGGGCAAAATCCTGGAAAAACTCATCTTAAAACGCCTGTATCCCATCCTAGACTCTAAACACATTATCCCAGATCACCAATTTGGATTCCACACATCCCACATCACTAATCAGCAATGCCATCGTGTGGTATATGTAGTCTCCTCTGCATTGGAATGTACTGCACGGGAGTCTTTCTCGACATTGAACACGCGTTTAATAGAGTCTGGAATCCGGGACTGATGTACAAACTTCGTAAATTCCTACCACCTACATATTTCCTCATTATCCGTTCCCACCTTACTGACAGATAATTCAAAGTAAATCATAACAATGCTTATTCATCTCTTTTTATTCAGTTTGCCAGTGTTCCTCAAGGTAGTATCTTAGGCCCTATCCTTTAGACAGTTTATACAGCTGACATCCCAACCCAATCCTAAACTGTCACCACCACCTATGCCGATGACATGTGCATCCTATCAGTTAATAACGATCCATCTATTGCATCACAAACTCTTCAATCACAGATCACAAGTCTGGAAAAATTGTGTCAAAACTGGAGGATTATAATAAATTCCAATAAATCCCATCAAATTACCTTTACTTTTCGTCATAAACCTATGACTTTCTGTCCTACAGTATCCTTCAACAATAGCCCACTTATCCCTGTTGAACAAATCCGATACCTAGGACTCCACCTGGACCAACTACTCACTTGGGACTCCCATTCCAGACTGAAACCACTAGAAACTGTCCGACGTTTTCGACTACTGCAGCAATTACTAGACATACGCTCTAAACTTCCAACTATTTACAAAAGACTCATATATATTACTATAAGGCCTATTTGAACTTACGGGATCGAGCTTTGGGATTCTTCTAAACCATCGAATTCCTCTCGTATCCAATCCCTACAATCCAAAATCCTTTGTAAAATCCTCAACGTTCCCTACTTTGTCACAAATAAAATTATCCATAACGACCTTAATGTACCATATGTTTCCGATTTAGCTCAATCCAGATATCTATCCTTCCATAATAAACTTCTGAACCATCCGAACCCTCTTATTTCCAACCTTGCTTCCTCTTCTATTCCTAATAACCCTCTGAGGCGTCTGAAAAGAAGATGGCCTCGGGACCTTCTAATATAGAAATATAATTGGAGTGCTACCAACGGGTAGTTTCTCTTCATGTTGGACTTGTCATGTTACTTATTTCATATTTACTAGTTGTATTTATCATTTAATACAGTTGTAAATTTCAATAATAAAAAAATATAATTAAGAAAAAAAAATTTATAATTAATTTAACAATTACTACCATATGAGTAGTATTACTATATACATATATAATTTTTAAAAACTTTTAGAAAACATATTTTTTGTGACTAGTGTTTTGTTTTTGAAAGGCAAAGACAATTTGAAAATAACTCTTGGAGCCGAAACGTTAAACAATAATTCTGGAATGTATATAAAAATGTTTTAAGTGTAAAATAAAAGGTTGTGAGATTAGAAGGGATTTCGGTACAAAATTATATATTATACATCATATATTGTTTAAATATAATCATTATAAATTAATATAAAAGATACTGTATTCAGTAATTCAAGGTCATCCAGCAGCTAAATGCTAAATCAACTTAATGAAATAACGTTTAAATTATGAATCAAATAATAGACATTTTTCTGTCTTAACCGACATTCTCCTTCCCAGCCAAGCTTGAGCTGTTTTATATCAGTTATGTGCATGCAGCTCTACAGCACCTTTATTAATTTGATCTATGCATCTTTTTTTTGGCATTCCACGTGGTCTCTTGCCGGTTATTATTTACAAGTGGTACTCCTTCGGCCATCTTGGTTGAATTCAGGTTATCCACAATATTTCAGATAAGGTTTATAAAACACACCACTAGGAAGCGCCACTATTGTGAAGGGGTTGTCTTGTCAGCTCTTGACCCCTCCACCTTACATTCCTTACAAATAATTACCAAATATAACCTTTACAATATATATTAGCATCATTTTTTTTTAATTAGTCGATTTTTTTGTATCTTCAGTTTATCGATTACGCAAACTTTATATTTTTGATGTTATTTATAGACACATATTACCTCGATCATTTTTTTTTCATTATATATTTCTAATATTATTTATGATTATTGTGTTTATATATTGCCTGTTTTTGTTTTTTTAACTTCGAGATTAATCATTATTAATACTTTTTGATTTACTTATCCTAAATTAAAGAAGTTGATTAACTTAAGTTTTGTTTTAATAGTGACACTTTATCTGTAATTGTATTATTTATAACAAGAAAGTTAAAACAATTCAATTTTTGTTTTACACCAATGATAATCACAAACCCTTGTACTTTTTCGGATTAGTATCCACAATAACTAGGAATAACAATACTTAGGAAGCTAGGAGTTCAAATGGAAAGTAAAAACTCTATTCAACAAGACTATGATGCAAAAATTTAAAGTAATTTATAAAACGGTGATACTAGAAAAATAATAAATGAAATCCTAATACATTACTTATGTCCAATATTAATACAATCAAGGAAGAATTAAACAACTCACAATTTTCTATAAGGGTTTTAATGCTGACTAAGGGTTATCTTTTTCAATTATATGTTACTTAAATCTTCTTCTATCAATCAAACACATTTTAAGTCTACTGAGGTACATACTTGCATTACCCAATTCTAAAGAAAATGTTTCAGGATCATGTAGGAGAGCTCTAGCTGATAAAGTATTATGCCTTACTGTACTGTTTCACTGTTATTTGTGTGTAAAGGTTTAGAAATACATTTTTTGAATTATTGATTTAAAATAGTTTAATTTAAAGTTGATAAATTTTATTTTGGCTATACATATTGATTCTTAGTAAATTATGTTGTCCTTATTTATAAGTGCATTTCAATTTTTTTCTTCCAAAGGAAGTGTCTAGTGTGTTAATTAGATATTTTTAATTGGATATTTTATTTTCCAAGAACTCTTTGTATAAAATAAATATATTTGTTTGCACAAAAGAATAAGGTATTCCAGATTATGTTTCTCGTTTGCATTGTTAAGATTCCTTATGTTTTCCTATATTGAGCCACTTTTCCTTGGTCGATTTGATCATTACTGGTGGTAATTTATTGTTATTTGAACAATAAGTCTATTCTCAATAGTTAAATTATTTACAGCATTGCAAAACATTTAGGGACACCTTAGGAAGAAACTAATAAACTCATTAAACAATGTCAGGAAAGGTTGAGGCTGAAAGCCAAAACATGAGATGATGTAAAACCTAAATCTTTCATTTATGTAACTAAGGTACATTTTATACACAAGCTGATTTAAAAAAATATAAAACTTCTATCTACGATATGCTGAATTTTCAAAGGAAGGGTGAATTAATTTGAATTAAATGCAAATATTTTTAATGAAGAAGGTAAAGAGTTGCTCCTGGTGGAATACACAACAGGATGAAGATAACTTACACTTTCTTCCTTAATATCTCATTCTGACAGGATTCAAAAAAATTAATCAGACAATACAATGAAAACGTAGATACAGATAGTGTAAGTAGATAGCAATGGAAATGGTTAGGAATAACTGGTCACATACTTTAAATTGGTTTGGGGATTAAGACAATTTAGGAATTAAAATAACCAAATGTGAATAATTGAGATGTATAGGTAAACATATATTTAAAACATCTGTTATAAATCTTGCAGGCTCAAGTTGACACATAGTTTAGGTAACGTTTGAAAAAGATAACTCCTTAAACTAAATACCTCTTGGAGCATTGCATTTTGTATATTATTACATACTGGCTGCTAAGATACTTGTCTATCATACAGATATGATGATTGGCATAGTTAACTATGTAGAAAATGTGTGGTTTCAAGGAGGACTTTTACTTTTGGCATTAATCCTCTGCCCTCATCCCCTGGCATGGGAAAATCCCATATAGCCTGAAAGGGAAGGAAGGGAGAACAAGAAAAATTTTGAAAATGTATTAAATTCAATCAAACTTCAAGGGACCAATCGCTAAGAACTCGTAATGCTGCTGACAAGTTCAGATTTAAAAGAATGTCAGTAGTGTTTTGTTCTTTGATTATTATTCAATCGCTAGAGCTCTCCTACATGATCCTGAACAATTTTTATTAGAATCTGGAATGCGAGTATGTACCTCAGTAGACTGAAAATGTGTTTGATTGATAGAAGAAGATTTAAGTAACATATAATTGAAAAGGATAACCCTTAGCCTGCATTAAAACCCTTATAGAAAATTGTAAACTGTTTAATATATACAATCTAAAATATACAATAGTCAACTATCAAGTATTTAAAAATTTAATAGATACAATCTAAATATCTAAAATATACAATGGTCAACCATCAATTATTTAAAAATTTAGATAGTGTGTCACATTTAAAACAAAATTTAAGTTAATGAAGTTCTTTCAATGAAACAGATTGTTTATGACAGTATGTAGGCCATTAGACTGAAAATCTGTTTGATTGACAGAATATATATAAAAACTATAAGCATAAATAATATTATGTTGATAAGATGGAAATTGGAATGGGTATTCAATCGATATTTATTTTTTATAAAGTGAAAATGGTGGGGAAAGAATGCTAACTTTAACAAAAGGTGGGTAATATGTAACCTAAACAATATAATTTCTACATTTACTTAAAAAGGAGGTGAGGTGGAGGGGACAAGACAACCCCTCCGCAATAGTGGCGCTGCATTATTTTGTAAACCTTATCTGAAACAGTGTGTATAACCTTGATTCAACCAAAATGGCTGGAGGAGTACCACTTGTAAATAATTACCCTCTTGCCTACTATTGAGGCAATCATTGTTGTGAAGGGGCTTCCTGATGGATCCGTACTAGCCACATACCTCACCCATCTTAACCTCCTTTCTTTCATATCATGAAATATTGATTGACCAGTTTCTGTAAGCGGCTCATTATTAGTCTTTCTCTTCCATCCAGTAGTACTCTGATTCTAGATCACTCCAATTATTGCGTGAATGATTTTTCTCTAAAATATTTCAATAGCCATATATAAACTCCATATAAACTACAATTTTTTTAAACAGAAGGAAATATAACACTTATTAGGCCTGTCCATTAACCAATGCCTTTGATTCTTTAACATAATGAAAACCCAAGCCCTTTGATTTCAAATTGAACACCATATATTAAGAATGACAATTGGTCCCTGCCATATTAATAGAGTATGGAGGATACAAACCAACATATAGTGAAGAGGACTGAACAAGATCTCTGATATTGTAGGAGTAATCAAGGGTGGATGGCTCAGGTAATAATAAATAATAATAATAATAAGGCTTAGCGAACCCGAAGGTTCGATGCCGACACCACCAATCGCTTGTTACACACCTCCCTCCACCATTCGCCGTCCAAACCCAGTTCCTTCAGATCAGCTTTAATACAATCTTCCCACCTTCGCTTCGGTCTACCCCTCGGACGCTTACCATTCGGCACAGCAAATATTAACCTTTTAGAAATTCTCTCGTTACTAAGCCCAACAACTTTGCAAGCCCATTTGATTCGCCGCGATGAAATTACCTCAATTATATTACCCAGATACAGCTCACGCAATTCGGCGTTGCGTAACCGTCTGAACTCTCCGGTTAACTCATCCTTCTTCGGTCCTAATATTCTACGCAATACTTTATTTTTAAAAACCTTAAGACGCTGCTCATCCCTTAATGTAAGCGGCCAAGTTTCGGGATGGCTCAGGTGGGCTGGTGATATTACCAGGACTCCAGACCCCTAAACCTCAGAAGATATTAGACAAAAAAATAAATGTTACCAGAAGAATGAGAAGATACGGGTTGTGATGGATGTATGATGTGTCTAACGAAGCAAGATCTACCTTGGGTCTTCATAACTGAAGGGCAGAAGCAGTCAACAGAAACGACTGGCAGAAAAATTGTAAGATGCTCTGACTCTCTAAGAGTTGTAATGCCACAAAAGAATATTTGAGGTTTTGGTTGGAACTGAAAGATCAATACAAATTAGAAAACTTGGAAACAGGAAATCATTAATCTTACCTGTGATATATTGCAATATTAACTACAACAGGCCATTTTAAACGAATTTCATCACAAATAGTTGCAATCACTTTCATTGCCATGCTTTCATAAGCCTCATACTTCAATGATTTAACCTACAAAGTAAATAAACTTTACATAAAATTAAACAGCTCCTTGATTATAAATTGAATTTTAAACAAATTTGTCAGCACCAACTCTTTTATTAAATATTTTATATCAGATTATTTTTTAAAATTTAGAAACACATATTTTACTAAACAGAATATCATAAATAATTTACAAACCATATTTTTTTTAAAATTATAATAATAAACATACATATTACAAATCCAAAATATGATTGGAAGATTTCAAATACAAAACCTCGAGTCTCAAAAAATCTGGCAGGAAGAACTCTTCCGCAAAGGTATGATTATCAATAGCTCCAAAAGCAAAGTTCTAGTCATATCAAGAGATGAACAAGAGGACGTCCAGCTGATCTGTAACGGGGAGGTACTTAAAGTTGTGCAATAATTCACCTATTAGGCTACAATTATCAGCAACAAGAGGAAGATTGACCCAGAAGTAGCGAATAGGATATCCAAAGCCAATCAGGTATATTGTCCTATCAGTAACAGTATAGTAGAGCACAAGGAAATTGGCAAGGAAACAAAAAGGCACATATACAAGTCGGTATACCTCCCAAGCCTCACGTATGGAAGCGAAAGCTGGATTATACTGGACAAGCAAGTTAGCCATGAGGCAGCAGCCGAGATGAAGTTTCTGCGGAGAGCTGCTGGAAAAACCAGGAGAGACCGCGTCAGAAATGAACACATAAGAGAGGACCTGGAGGTGGCGGAGCTAAGGATATTACTGGAAAACTGACAGTTGAAGTGGTTTAGCCATGTTTGTCGGATGGAGGAGGAGAGAGATCCGCGGAAGATTCTGGAAGTTCGACCCACTGGGAGGAGGCCGAAGGGACGCCCCAGAAATTCCTATCAGGAGTATATGCAGGGGATTGGAGAGAAAAGAGGCAAAACCCTCCAGGAAATGAGGTGGCTAAGTAGGGACCGAGAGGCATGGCTGCATTGGATAGAGGCTCCTCGACGCTAGTAATGGCACGAAGAGGAAGACAAAGAAGAAGAAGAACCTCTAAAATATAGATATATAGATCCAGATAGAAAAAACAGGATCACATACATAAATACATTTCCTACATGCATACTTCAAATTAATAGTCCAAAAAAGACACCTAAAAAAGACAATTTATCACCCTAAGACACCCAAACGCATATTAATTATTGAGTAAAAAGATGGTCTGGAGTGGCAGTCATAAAAAGACTAAAATAGTAACAAACTATTTTATTTAAAACCAACATTTTGACCCGAGTTTGCAGGTCTTCTTCAGGGCTAGAACAAACAAGATACAAAAAGCTATAGAACAATGTGGCAGTTACATAATGTTTAGATAAAAATTATAAACAATTTGAATAAACTTATTAAAATTATCCACAGTGTGAATAGCAAGTACTGGGAGGAAAAATAAACGAAAAAAAAATTATAAATAGAGACTTATGGTTTTACCCAGTAGGGAATTTCAGTTAAAACTAAGGAAATATGAGGAGAAAGGAAGGGGAAACACGTGAGAAATATAGTTGACCTGGTAGGGGGATGGTGGAGATAAGTAGTGATTTCCAGGTAGATAGTAAAACAAAACATAAACAAAGAATTTTAAAATATCTCAAATTTGAAGATAGTGATGGTGAAAAAAAATACAATATGTATGAATTAAATAGTTTGATTTTCTCACCATTTTTGTTTTTTTGGGTCGCTAAACACGAATTTTAAGTTTGCTGGCAAAAATTTTGCCCGGAACTTTGTTTTTTTGGCACTTTTTGATCAAATTTTGGAACGTTTTCAGTTTTCGGCCTATATCTCAAAAAGAAATCCTTTTAGACAAACCCATCCTACCTACACAAAATTAAAGCAGACAAAACTGCCTACATTTCTTATACAAAAAGTTTTTTTAAGACTAGCCGTTTCGCCGCTAGAGCGCGCCCGAAAGGGATCATATTTTCATATCCGGTGAAATTTATCGATTATGCGGAAATCGCCCTTGCTGCGATTCTTAAACTGTTTACCAATTTATTACATTATACAATTTATATGATATAAAAGTACATTTTTCATAAATAACGTTGTTGTTTTTTCAAGATTAACCGTTTCGCCGTTAGAGCGGGCCCAAAAGGGGCCATATTTCTATATCTGTGAAATTTCCAATATAGAAAAAAGTTTTGATCGCTCCACTAATTTACTGCGGTAATTTTCTTTATACAAATGGCAAATCGCTTCAATCCTTTAATTTATTACATTATACAATTTATATGATATAAAAGCTTGTCCCGAGATTTACCAGTGTAAATAATTAATGATACAATATGTAACTTGATCTTGACATATTTCATAAAAACGGTCAGGAGCGGGATCTTTAACATCGTAAAATTGGGTTCTGATGTCATTGCATATTATTTTGGCTGCTGCTTCGTCTATTCGCAACCTCTTTTCTTCTTCAGATCTACAATTCGTACCGTCTTCACTTGGTAAAATGCGTCATTCAATATCTTCTCTCCTATGTTTTAAACATACCAGTCTGTTTATTCATTGGAAAGGTGAACAGTATGTCATCGCCATACTTTTCTTCAAGTCGAACTTTCACTGTCCTTTGATCTGGTTTGTAGTCTCCTTTTATTTGGACCATCAGTTCTTCCATTGAAAACTGACAATCATCATCGCTATTTCCCATGTATGTGTATATTTCCTGCATTGCTTAATCAATTGCCAAATCAGATGGTTCCCATCTTTTCTGCTGCCGTCTGTGTTAGGTGTTCGATTTCCAATAAGTTCTATTAGGCACTTTTTGTGATATTGCATGTCATATGCAACCAAATCAGGTACATGCTCAATTCGGCGTAAAACCGCCCTACCAAATTCATCATCACGATCTCGTTCGTTCTTCATAACACTTTCTCTCTATGAAGCACTCTTTAAACAAATGCACTTTGTTCGTTTGTATCCATTTTTTAATTACTTTTTGCATATTCATTATTCAAGTAATGTATACTGAGTCCGTGAATGTTTTTTTGGAGTGCTCTAGCGGCAAAACGGCTGGTCCAGAGATTGTCAACTTTTTTTTTTGCAGCCCATTTCAACGATTTCAAAATTTGGTGGCACTGAAAGAAAAAGATAAGTTTAAAAGTTGTTTACTTATCTATAATACACTGTGTAAAATAGTTTATGATAATAGTTTTGAATGTAAAATAAAGTAATATGTACTAAAAAACAGCAGTATGTTTATAAGGGATTAATTACAAGTAAATAATAAGAATATTTTTAATAAGGAATTTGAGATTGATTTTTGTTTCTTTAATATATATTTCCAAAATTTGGCAACACACTTTAAGAATCCCTGGATTAGTTTTACAAGGAAAAACTTATTTATGAGAAATTTGCTGTTATATAATATAAATTGTATAATTTAATAAATTGTTGCAACAGTTAAGTATCACAGCAAGGGCGATTTCCGCGTAAACGGTGAATTTTACTAGATATGGAAATATGACCCCTTTAGGGCGCGCTCTAGCGGCGAAACGGTTAGTCTTACAAAAAAAAGTTTTGTAAAAGAAATTTAGGCAGTTTTGTCTACTTCAATTTTTTGTAGGATGGGTTTGTTGAAAAAACGATTCCTTTATGAGCTATAGGCCGAAAACTGAAAAATGTTCCAAAATTTGGTCAAAAAACAAAGTTTCGGGCAAATTTTTTGCCAGCAAACTTAAAATTCGTGTTTAGCGACCCAAAAAACATTAAGGGTGAGAAAATCAAATCTATAGCAAAACTTGTTTCTGAAAATCCTAATATGCCTAGCCAATTAAAGAAATACAATTTTTATCCACTTTATGATTAACCGGATTCTGTTACATGTGGATGAGGATGAAGTCGGAAATGAGTCTTTTCCATCGTTAGGGACCATGGCGAGAATAGTTTTTTCAAAATCAAATGAATGGTAGAGAGTCAAGGCATGCTCTGATAGTTTGGAGGCAGAAAGGTTCCGGGCAGTTATGGATGTTTTTGTAGGGAAATATGGGTTTTGAGTTTCACTAATATTGCAATTATGAGCAGAGCAAGATATCCTATAAACTACATGGATCGATGTTGTAAAAGTATGGGACCTTTCAAGTTGGTGAAAAGGATTGAGTCTGTAATGGAACTTAAGGCCGAGACGTACGTTGGTAATAAGTATTTTTGTATATTATCTGATAGAATAGGAATATAGGAGAGAGATCTGTATATGAAAAGGGTGGTAGGTGATTGTGGAGAGTTTAGAGAAGGGGAGGTTGTAATGTTTTTGGTTGTATTGTTGTTTAACAGTTTAAGTATAGTGCTGAGAGGGAAATTATTGACACGCAGAATGTTGGTTTGGTGGTATTGTGAATCAGAGAAAGAGAAAGATCAATTATTTAGGTTTTTGTTAGTATTGATTTTTTGGTGATTGTTTGGGGGGGGGGGCATATAAACAAGGTGCTAAGGAGTTGAACGATATAAGATTGTAGTGAGTGAGACAGTTAATTTGTTTTGTCTCGAATAGGTTTATTTAATTTTAGCATTAGTGAGTGGGTTGGGTCATAAGGAGAGGTTACGTAAGTCGATTGGTCTAATTAAGGAATCAAATTATTAATCTTCAAATTAGTAAAATTGTGAATTAAAGAGGTTGATTTTTTGAGTTACCTTCAGGAGCGGACAATGCACTGGAGTATTATGTCATAATATTATCTGCTAACACAGATGTCAAGGTCACAAAGAAGCTGACCTGGCATAACATAACAATATTTACAAACTATTTCAGTGGCAATGTTACTGACCTCTCTATCTTCCCTAATATTTACTAATATTAGAAGAAAATAACACACCGTAAAGAAAACCGATGTTTCAACCCGAACATACTTGAATACCTTCAGTGCTCGAACCACGCCCTGATGATGACCCACATGTTTGGGTTGAAACGTCAGCACTAATAAAAACTTTATAATGACTGCGTCCTGAATATTTATCACCCATGTTATAGGTAGAACAGTCGACT